AATCTTATTGAACAGGAACTACCTTAACAAGTGATGTCTGGTAATAAACACGTGTTCATCATGATTAATTTTTGGTTGTGACCCGGATATATTTGACCTACATAATGTGGGTGTATCTTCTGTCTGAAACCTGGATAATCAATGTTAACCTTCAGTAAAATAGTTTTAATAAATACGTTTTAAACACTGCTTGTTTTGAAACTGACATTGGATGTTCCAAAGTTTCTCTGTTTCTAAGACATTAATTCGTGTGTAAAACGTCAGACACTGTTGAAAATACACTCTTGATATGGAATGAGGTTAAGAAATTTCCTGAAATATCGTATTTTAAAGTAAAATATAAATATAGTTTTTCATTTCAATCGTTAGAGTATAAGAAAAGACTTGACCCTTTCGAGACGGGTTACGGGTGAAAGGCCATGTCATCTCGTTGTTCATTCACAGTCAAAATTTTATTCAACTGCTATTTCATGAACTGATGTTAATATTTTGGGTATCAATCTGTAGATTATACTTCAAATTTTGATACTATATAGGACGTGAATAACCAATTGGAAGCTCAGAATGTCCTCCTAGTGGCTTTCTGAGCCATTTTGACGGACCTAGCGCCAATAATTTCTTTTGCACCAAGATTTCAACGAGGTAAGGTGTGTCTTTAGTCTGATCAAAATTTCATATTTTTTTAGACTAAAATACATCTTAGTTACTAAGATTCATAAATTATAGTGGAATTCTATGGTATTAATGTTGTAATGTATGATTTTGTAGTTATTCAAATGTATATATAAAACCTAAAATAAATATTTTGTTTCACATCCTGCACGTGCAATTTATTTAAAGGCTTAGTAACCTACGTCAAGTAGCAACCGAGTACAAAGGTCGTAACTAGAAGAGATAATTGTTTACATTAGATGTTTAGTTACTGTTCTATGTTTTAATAAAAATAAATTTAAGAACTTATTTCAAAATATCAATAATCTATAAACACCTATGGTCTAGCAAAGTAACTTGTTTTGGCTGTGTTTTAGTAGAGTAGTATTTTGTAAAATACATTCAAATTTCAATTATTATACATTATACGGTTCATGTGCACTCATGTTACTGTATCAAATAGCATAAAACTGACAGAAGTTACAATGACGTATTGTTAGTCAGGCACTGCTAAAAGGTCAATATGATAAAAATAATAAATATATATAAATGTATAATGTTATGAGATTTAAGCTATTTAGTATAAACCCGTACAGAGATTAATTACTATAAAAAATGAAACAGAAGAACGAACACTAGCTCTGAATACGTGTTTTATTGTTTTCTATTATATATTAACATGTTTTACCAATTAAATAGTTGAAAAAAAATAACACAAACTTTACAAGAGTATTTTAGATAATTATTTTCATTAAATGAAATGTTTACATACATATATATATATATATACGATTCAATCAAAGTCAATGATGGGAATGTTTTAACTCTTTCGATATGGGGTCAGTTAATGACCTCGTAACCATCTTGTGCCTGTTATAGTTTTCTTGCTATAACTTTTAAATTAGTGCCTAACCTTAACGAAATATGGCGGATTATCGTTAAACATTACAATGCTTCCATACGAAAAATATCTATTTTTTCTTAAGTCTTAAGGTTTATAAAGCAATGTTTTTCTCATGTCTATTTTTTTTTTTACTTTTCGCATGTTGCCTATCTATCATGGAAAGTAATATTCAATTTAAGATTACAAATACTTATATGTATGAGAAAATTTTGAAATTTCCCATGCGAAATCTTTATAATGTCGAGATAGTTATCAAACGTTTCTTTATATTTTCAAAACATGAGGTTGAGATAGTCTGTAGTAACAGTATTCTGGATTCAACGGTCTGAGTTGAACACTGGCTTTACCCAGAATGTTTATTGTATATATATTTTAAATGAATGATATAAATATCGTTTCGACCGAGATTTTGTGTAGCAATCCCAGCCGACCTGGTAATTTCTGGTATTGAACGATAGTGGCATGTGGCATATAAGTTTGACTATTCTTAAGCAAAAAATTAAATAATGGGCTAACTGTGCTGTGCCCACGAAGATCTTTTAGAATTTTCAAAATATTATAATTTTCATCAGATGAAAGACTTTTTTGGTAGTGTATGATACTTATATTAATTTTATCAGTATACTGAAATCTGTAGATGATGCCATTCTGACTGGCGAGTTTTGAAGTATTAGCAGTTGTTTTACGTTATATTCAGGCGAATGGTTTAATAATGTATAAGTTTTAAGTTTATCATTGTTTGGGGATTCAAATGTTTCATATTTGTGGGAAAGGTTTCGTTAGACAGGTTTTTGGTATCGAAATTAATTATTATATTTATTGAAAAGAAAAAAATACACATTAATACAAGCCATCAACAGAAAATATAAAATAAATTATAATACGAACATTTCTTAGAATTTTAAAAATATAATAATTGTCATTAGATCTACGACAAATATTTCTTTAAATATTTCTGATTACTCTCTGATATTGATAACTATAAATATATAATGAACGTTATTACACTACTGAATAACGATTAAACTATATATCTCTATGTGACATTTTTATGCTTCTTTCCTTGAAACAAATCAAACAGGTCGTATTTTCATTTCTGTTTTCTTCAGAGAATATTTATGTTCTTTCCAATGATGCCAATTAATACAGACAAGCTACACAATAAGTCATCTTGGTTGTGTACTCTACCGGTATACAAACTCAGTTTCTAGCGTTAAAAGTCCTCAAACTTACTGCTGTGCCACAAGGGGACCTAATGCCGTTCAACGTCACCCATAAACCAATTTACATTTTCATTAACGAGTAAACTATCATTATATTTTCAGGTTTTTTAACAACGATGAAATTATAGAAAGTGTTCCTGTTTTATTTCTGATAATGGCAAGTGTTACTGGTGGAATTCTACTCATTGGGCTGCTTATGTATCAAGAACTACCACGAGAGTCAAATCAGGTTAGAGGAATTTGATTAAATAAGTTTACGAATGGAACTTTAGACGAAAAATTAAATTAGCATCCTATCATTTGAAAAAATCCGACTTATTTACTAGTGCCAGTTTTACTTAAAGCGAGCTTATCTTCAGAGGTTCAATATGTGTAGTTGCAGCTGAATTAATCCCATTGATAGGTGTAGACAAGCGTTTCAAAAAATGTAACAGAAACAAGAAAATATTTCTACTGCCATATTTTGGTATATAAAAGAGTTAATTATTTTCCAGGTTACTCGTGTTCATATGTTTATCAATCATCTAGTTTTGTGTTCATTATCTAACCGACATGTATCCAAGCAAAGTTAAAAACTCAAGTTTTGAAGTAACGTAGTTAGTTTTAGAGCATGCCATTAGTAATAAAATAGAGCATAAGAGTTTTGCAAAATAGTGGTAAGTACTACTACTGTATGTGTTCCAGATAAGTTTTCTTAATAATATTTGTTTTCTTGTTTCTTCACCAATATTTCGGCTGCTTATGTTAACAACTGTAGTGTTACTTTATTGTTCAGTAGACATCTTAACATCTTAGGATACACACTTAAAGATGTGATCCAGAGCTAAAGACGTTTAATATAAACGAACAAAACAGCGTTTAGTAAAATGATTATATGGTATTTTCAGTTTATATACATAGGAAACAACGATATTCATATTTTTAACACAGGAAGAAACAATTTCCAGCGAACTAACTACTGTGTACGAAACGTCAAGACAATCATGTAGTAAAGAACTTAGTGGACCAGTTACGAAATATTTGGACTGTAGAACAACAACAAATACCGGAAAAATATTTGAATCATTGGAAGAAGATTCAGCCAATGTGAACGATGATGACGAACAACCGTACAGTAATGGTCCAGTTGAACTTCATGTGTCACCAAAGGAAGCTCTTAAAATGAGAGAATTTTATCTTTTATCTATAGTTTGTATTTGCTCATATTATCCATTCATGTTTGTGAATGTTTTTTATGAGGTAAGTATATGAACTTGATATTAATTTGTTTTTTCTGAGATAATGAAAGTTTCTAACTCCCAAAACTACAACTTACATAAATAAATTAACATTATACTCATCATAAACCACCTTGAGATACTGCATGGAACTAAAACCTTATGTATGAAAATATTGATTGTGGTGTTCAAACCTAATATAAAATAAGAACTTGTAGTTACAAACTAAGTACCAACACCAGGACTGTTTTGACACAATTTCACCTGATTAGTGAAAGAAAGTTATTTTTCAGTTCAAAAATACATTTATACTGTTTTCCAGACATATGGACAGACGTTTATATCAGACGACACGTTTCTGTCCACTATTGGTTCTGTAGCTGGAGCTGTTCATGCCCTTAGCCGAGTGATTGTGGGCTTAATTCATGACAAATTATCTTACAAGGTAAGAATGTGTAAAGCGAAGTGACTTGTGTTGTTATTAATAATTATTAAAGTAATATTTGTTGTATAAAGTGTATAAAATCTTCATGGCTAGAAGGCTTATAACGATAAAATTCAAGTCCCAACCCCTGCCGCGGGAACAACATAATCCCGTTGTTTGCTTTACAAATA